AATGAAAAGTAAAATCTAAAAATGGCCTACATACAAAAACAAATACAGTAATGGCCAATGCTGAAGGCTGGATACTTAGCAGAGACTGACGCCTCTCACCGCCTGCACACAAAGGCCACATGTAAATCCATGTAGGATTCAATGATACTAATCATTGGCATTCAAATTGAAACTTCCTGCTTATGCATAACATTGTATATGATACAGGGAAGTTTCATGCATGTATTATATATCATCAGACATTAAGGGTAAAGAATTTAAACACATACAGTGGCACTGCAAAGGGGCAAATAGCAACACACAAACTACCTCTCTTTCCTGTCAAAATCAACAGCATCAGAGGCATTTGTCATGATATGTATGAAAACTATTAAAAAGGTTATCACATGCTCATGTCGTCTGATAGTTAATGCGCATGCAACAAAATATATCTTAACTGATGTTGATGTCGCCAAGAGTCGTGTAGATAACTGATTTCCTCTGTGTTTGGGTCGTCCCCTAAGACCAGTGTTCCTGGTAGCTTTATTTTACCAAGGTGTCAAAGTGACTACGAGGGAAGAGAAACTGTGAGTTACTTTGTGATGTTTGCTCCTATGGTAATCTATATAAGCAAATTATATCATATGTTAATGCTGGAGTTAAGCACAGATATCCACAGTACATTATAAAAGCACTACAAGACAACAGGACTTGTATACAGTAAGCTAAACAATTGTCAATAAAGCTATGCATAAGATTAAATAAATTATAGAAAAGTAAAATGGTGTAGAGAAATTAAATAATTCAACGAGAGAGGTGGTGACCTAAACGTGTATCAACAGAACAACCATGCCCATGTCTATAGGTAATAATCTGGGGGCCAGATTCACGAAGCAGTTACGCAAGTACTTACGAACGTGTACATCTTTCCTCAATCTTTGACGGCTTTGGTTACATTTATTAAACGTTTACAAGCATGAAAACTTCATAATCAACTGTTGTTATTGTTATAAACAGCCTCCTGGTGCTTTGGAGCTCATTAACTGTTTAATAATTGTAAACAAAGCCGCCAAAGATTGAGAAAAGATGTACAGGTTCGTAAGTGCTTGCGTAACTGCTTCGTGAATCTGGCCCCTGACCCTTTAGCAGTAACTTTGACCTTTTCTGGTTGAGTCTAGTTTGTTGGTACTCAATGTGCCCTTAGATATTAATAACAAAAACTATAATGTTTTTCTTTAGATCTGTAAAACATGTAATATTCATAGTATGGAAATATTATTTTCTATAGGCAGATGAACAAATTGACAGGAATACCCCCTAAGACACGGTTGTTCCCCATTGGTGTGCAGTAGCTGAATCCTGCAATGTGTACTTTTCGTGTAAAGACTTTGTTTCATGATTTTCAAACATGGCCTAGATTCAAATGATATCAAACTGGATATGTATCCCTATTTTGATCTGCAAGGCAACTGGCATATTAAATGGAAGCATTTTATATGGAAGGGAAAAACCCGTAAGCCCCATATTATTAAGGTTAGAACACTTGCAGTATTTATTGAGCAATAGATAAATTACAAGTTACATTAAATAAAATTTAATGTAACACTTTATGTAAGCCAAAAAAAGCAGCTCGGAAGGGTAACACCTTATTTTTATCCTTTCATGTGCTAACTAAATTAGAGGAAAAGATGAAGAAAGGAAAGAGACAACAAGAGGGGAAGAGAGGAGGAGGGAGGAGGATGGAAAGAGAGGATGGAAAAAGAGGAGGGAAAAGGAGGAGGGAAAAGGAGGAGGGAGGAGGGAAGACGAAGAGGAGGGAAGAGGAGGAGGGAGGACAGAGGAGGGAGGAAGGAAGGAGGAAGGAAGGAGGGAGGAAGGAGGGAGGAAGGAGGGAGGGAGGAAGGAGGGAGGGAGGAAGGAGGGAGGAAGAGGGGAGGGAGGAAGGAGGGAGGAAGAGGGGAGGGAGGAAGGAGGGAGGAAGAGGGGAGGGAGGAGGGTAGTGGTGGTTTGTTGTTTGATGAAAGATCCGCCCCAGCATATGCTGATTTTCCTCCCAGAAGGAATGGTACTGTACACTAGATACCCTTCAATCCCACTATACCCTACAACACTTTACTGCAGTAGTGGGCCCAGATTCACAAAACAGTTACGCAAGTACTTACGAACGTGTACATCTTTCCTCAATCTTTGACAGCTTTGGTTACATTTATTAAACAGTTTACAAGCATGACAACTTCCCAATCAACTGTTGTTATTGTTATAAACAGCCTCCTGGTGCTTCAGAGCTCATTAACCACTGCACTGCGCAAAGCGCCTTTAGGCGCTCAGAGAGTTGTGCTTTTTGTTTTTTAATTTGGCTATATTTTAATGTTTTTTAATGTTTTCATTACTATTTGTGTTTTGAAATGGAAATAGTTGACTTTGGAAACATTTTGACATTAAATTTACCCGAACATTTGTAAAAATAACAAAAATATGTCCTTGACAATTGCACCAAGACGTTTTTGCCGAAAATAGGTGAGCAGTGCAAGGGTTAACTCTTTAATAATTGTAAACAAAGCCGTCAAAGATTGAGGAAAAATGTTCACATTCGTAAGTACTTGCGTAACCGCTTCGTGAATCTGGCGCCTGGTCTTGAACAACAGTCATTTCGCAGATGGTAATCATTAAAGACGTGGCAATGTTGGCTCTTCCTCTATGAAACACAAATTTGTGCATTTATTAAGCTTTTTGAATGCTTAAAAAGGATGATAAACATTTTAATCATTTAGTAGAAAATAAATAGGCATAAGTTAAATTGTAGAATAATTAAAACATTTCTCTGTATTTGTTGGCCAAAATGGAATTGACCCAGTTTGTGGTAGTGTTGTTACTAATTGTTCACTGCAAACCAAAATGTGAAGATTTGTCAAGATATTTGTCAGAACTTTTGTCGCAATATTGTTCATTATTTAAAAAAAAAAAAAAACGCGGTTAATATTTTTGTCGACATCTTAAAAAATCCAGTCTTGGGAGAAACCCAGGGTTTAAATAATTCACCAGTGAAATGGTTAAGCATACAATAAATGCCAATCTACTGAGAGTTAAGCTAATACTAAAATAAGGAGCAAATGCTGCTAAAAGAACAACAACAAAAATGCATCAAAATCAGGTAAAAAAAAGGCATTAAACACGAAGATTAGAATAGATGTCGAGGACGATATAAATACGTAACCCAACCCACGCAAAAAACTAAACTAGTCATGTTTTGGTCCATCCTGGGCACTTATGAAAGTGTGATGGCGAGTTGGAGATAAATTGAATTAAACTTCAACATTCATGTAATACAGTACGTCTCAGAAGTGCTGTACTACACATTTTGACATGTTTTTCGAATGATTGACATTTAAGTGCTAACCAGCATGGTAGGACTTGGAAATACTGTATCAGGGCAATTTAAGCATATTGCTGCTACGAGACACACAGGTTACTCTTTACTTTTTAATTAAACCCCAGAAAGAACTAGCCCTTGCATATACTGTATCTATATATATATATATGTCGTACCTAGTAGCCAGAACGCACTTCTCAGCCTACTATGCAAGGCCCGATTTGCCTAATAAGCCAAGTTTTCATTAAATAATTGTTTTTCGACTACCTAACCTACCTAACCTAACCTAACCTAACTTTTTCAGCTACCTAACCTAACCTAACCTATAAAGATAGGTTAGGTTAGGTTAGGTAGGGTTGGTTAGGTTTGGTCATATATCTACGTTAATTTTAACTTCAATAAAAAAAATTGACCTCATACATAATGAAATGGGTAACTATCATTTCATAAGAAAAAAATTAGAGAACATTTATTAATTCAGGAAAACTTGGCTTATTAGGCAAATTGGGCCTTGCATAGTAGGCTGAAAAGTGCGTTCTGGCTACTAGGTACGACATATATATATATATATATATATATATATATATATATATATATATATATATATATATATATATATATATATATATATATATATATATATACATACACATACACACACACACACACACACACACACACACACACACACACACACACACACAGTATAAACAATTATAATAAGTTTATACCAACATAATAACTGCTTTCATTACTCTTTCAATGCATTTCACATGTATTACAATCAACAAAATTCCCCATAACATTTTGAAACTGCAAATTTTGTACAAAGTTTGGAAGAAATCTTTCAATATTTAAATGCTATTTTTCTCATTTAAAGTTTATTGAGCTATGAACAAGAACAACTTTCTGCCATTTTAATCAGAAGTTGATTTGTTGGCTCACACTGATCATATTTAAAATTATCTTGAGCAGCTTTCTCTCTCTTACCGAGTCATAATATCTACTGAAATTACAAACCATCAGTAACTAGAATTAGTTTACCGATTCATTCATAAGCCAGTGTCTAGTACATAGATATAATATAATATAATCCACAAGAGGTGTCTACATGTGCCCAGAAAGCTTTTCTACATCAATACTGTACTGGTAAAGCTAATACACTATTACTCTGATGCATACTTTCAAGTAATATCAGCCATTTTGCATACTATGGTTATGGCCTGGATTTTGCATACTGTATGGAGTAAAAGGACTATCCAATTTAATATTTGAAATAGTTATAAGTTTTGAAATTTGAACATCAGAAAAACTACTCTAAGGTAGATTATATGGAAAACTAAAAATAATCAAGAAGATATGTATACCTAGATCTTACCAAAGCAGGAGAGATTTGGTCGAATTAATTCCAAAAAATTATAAATATAGAACAACCTGTATGAATTCACCTTACTAACTCAAAGTAATAAATTGTTCCTAACCCGATCGAAACACAGTACTTTATCGGTTATTGTGCCCTAGTTCAGTAATTAAAACATAATTCTGGGAAGTTCCAGTCGACACAAACCAATAATTACACTGTAATTTACTTTTGTTTTGAACAAATAAGAAAATTGATTAGAAAGCTCTGAATACGGAATTTGATACTCACATCTGAGTATTTTCGATGGCGGCAAGAATTCTAGAATTATCTATATGAATTTTCTGTTTTGGTGTTTTTCTTTGGTCTTCTTGTCCTGAAAGATAATGTTAAAACTAAATGTTGGACATAGGATAAGCAGCTGAAAAATGATGAATACCAAACGGCAGCATCAAAAACATTAATACACGATTATTTATTCCGTTAACTACTTTCATGAGATAGGGTGGGAAGGCACGAACTCAGAGAAATAGAGGCAAGAAATATAACAACAAATGGATATAGGCATTAAATAATAAAACTTTAGCTGCTTTCTATCCCTGAATGATCCAACTGTTAACTCTGATTGCACAAATTTCTCGCTGATTGACCACTCACATTCAACCTTTACTCACTCAAACTTTAATGTCCCACACATGTAATTTGAAATGCAAAAAGAGAAGTTATCCATTGTCCAATACTACACACTATTTACTAAAAGGCCTATGCCTTCCTTACTTTCGTAATTATTACATATAATTAAAAAACGTTGCCAATTGCTTTTTACATCACTATCATGTGTTCCATTTCACAAAATATGGTAATTATGAGGAGAAAGCACTCAGCCAGTATGTCTATACAGTACTAGGATGGACTAGAAAGACAGAGTGAAGGAATGGTGCCCAACTACTTGGACCATCAGAGGTCCAAAGCAGCCCAAAGAGAAGAGAGAGCAATAAATCAAAATCATCATCATACATATTAAACATCATATTTGTATTATTTATGTTATTATTATGATTACCGTATTACTATTATTATTAATTATTATTATTATTACTGAGAAAATCAGTAGAAGCCATGAGGATTCAAAACCACACTCTAGGAACTCTGCCTCCTACTGATTTTCTCATAATAAGTGTTAATGTGATTTGTTTGTGCATTATTATTATTACGATTATTATTATTATTGGAATTCAGGTCTTAGGCCTTGAACTGGTTAGGCTATTGAGCAGGCCATGCTACTATTTACACGGAAATAATTAGTAAGAAAAATGACAACCAAAGTACAGTAACTGGAAGAAACTAGAATCAATTTATACACACACTAGGTCATGCATCGCGTATTGAGCCAAAGAACGACTGCCAACAATAAAGTGATCTTATTATCCTGCTTATGTTTAGTGTATATTACCGAGAAGTTATTTTTACTTCACTATTGTATAAATTATTTCTACACTCCACGGTACACAGAAATATATACACCGAGAGGTGTACCCCCACTTCTCTGTGAATGTACACTGGATTATGTTCCGAATTATAGTATGCTTGCTGGTTGGTCAGCAAGAAATTGTGCTGTCCTAAATAGTTCTCCAAGAGGTTGATAGGCCTTAAACCCAACACCAAACCAATTGACGGTTAACAGTAAATATAAGTTAATACTATAGTGAAAGATTCACAGGCTTCTGAAATACCCCCTCCCCAAATATCATCGTCCATATGGAGTTAATTTTGTCATGTTCTGTTGTCCAATTCAAGAGCTCCTCACAATCAGATGCATATATATATACCAAGTATATATACTGTATATACATTGTATCATATTTGCCTGAATACTGCAACAAACAACAGTGTAGATTCCCAGTTCTATATTGAACTGGGATGCACTCCACCGAGGTTCCATGTTCAATGAGACGTTATAATATGACATTTTGTAATGAATATATTGGTGAATATATTACATGTTTCAAAACCAAGAATTTTCTTAATTCAGAAATAAAGATAATGATTAGACAGTCAAATGATAAGGTAACTAACACAGAACTAAATGAAAATAATGGTTTTCTAAATTTTAAAGTTTATTTATAACACAATTTTTAAATGTGTAGATATAATGCTCCTCTCAGACCTGGCTGCTTCCTAAGGCATTATCTCACTCCCTGTGAGATTTTTATGATCTCTAGCCAAGGCCTGCATGACTTTCCATCTCCATTAGAAAGCTATCGAGTATATATTTAAAACAGAATTGTATGGTTGGTCTCTATTTTAAGTTTGACGCATTTCAATTTGTTAGTTCTGCAGCAATACTGTATATTACATCTGCACATAAAATGACTTGAAACTAAAGAGAGCTCATCATATTAACCCAAAAGCTTTCCATCAAATTTTACCATTACTGGACAGCCCACCTTAAAGCCCACTGTACGAACTAAGAGGTTAATGAACATTCTACAACCGAGAAAAATAAAGCAGAAAATACTAAATAAAACAAACTACTGTATGTGTAAAGGACTTCAGTACTAAACTGAGTTAATTTATACTGCTGATTCTGATCTATAATACAAATCTATGCAAATTATATAAAAGAATTACAAAGACAATACCTTTTCGCTTGGTGTACTTTAGTGCTGCTCCGTGGAATGCACTAACAGCACGGAAAAATGCCCTTAAAATAGACCACCTGAACACAGCAACAGGATCGGCCCCAGCCACTTCTCTTACGATACTATACCGACTATTCTTCATAACACATATCAGCTCAGGCCGCATAAGATCCAAGTTCTTTTCTCTAAAGTCATGAACCTGAAAAAAGATTTATTAAAAAATCAAAACTATATCCAATAGTTTTTATACTAAATGCCAAACTGATCAATGCTAATCTATCTCTGTCCAATCAAGTAGCATTGAGAAAGTTGAAGAAAAATATAGATAAATAGAGAGAAATTGAGAAAAAATGTAGCCATAAGTAATGTGATCAAGCATGGTTTTGGCACGGTCAGGTGGTATTGTACTGTTATATCATAACCTATTACATTTTGAGGTCGATACTGGCAAAGACGACAAACTTGTATTGTGGGAAGTTGTCTCTCTAAACTCTTTAGAATCTAAATGTTGTACACCACATTAACTATGGCATTGCAGTTTCACTCCACCTTCTACAGGTGGCCTCATTAATATTCTACACAAATTGTAATAGAACTAGAGGTGGTGGTATTATCTTGGCATTAAAAGATAATTATGTTGGGTTCTTCATTTTGGTCTTTAACCTTGAATACAATGCACATTTTTCTTATTTTTTGGAAAAAAAGTCTTTTTTAGAGTGTGTTAACAATAGGATTCATCGAGTTCCAGAGAATCGTGCAGCAAGAGAAACCAACTCCCATCCCTCCTGAATACTGCTACACTTTGATTGCTACCAGCCAGAAACCCTGTCTTGGATTGCAAGGAAAAAGAAAACAGCAGTAGATGCGACACTGGGAGGAATTTGATGAGGAACCAAGTATGTGCACGTGTATTTAAAATTACATAATGTGGAAGACATGAGGAGGGGGATTGATAGTTAATGAAGTTACAGTGGAACCTCGGCTTACGAATGCTCCTATTTACTAATTCTTCGGGTTACGAGCTCAATTTCTTTGTAAAATTCGATTTGGTTTATGGGCTTTCCCTTAAACTACCAGATGACACTAAACGTGTTATCAGACCACTATAATGATGAGATATTTTTTAGATTTGTAGATTTACAAATGCAAAACTAATATACAGTATTTGAAGAGTTCCTGGATCTTTTTTTTTTTCAGTTTTATGCCATGTTTTAGGTGATCATTTTGTTTTTACATGAAGAGGCATGTGATGTGACTAATATTTTCTCATGTTTGATCAAAGATTCCTAATCATACAGTATGAAACTGGGATGATGATAATGGGGCGATAATTTGGGTAAAAATTTTTTTTATTAATTACTGTACAAAATTTCTACATTTCTTGTTTTCAAACATCAGCATGCAAACTGTTAATATATTTATATATAGTATACAGTATATACAATTGTGTATGCATGCATTTATACATTTATACATTTTTGTGTACATGTACAGTCAGTATTTAAATACATTTGAAAGAAAAAGACTAATTACCTGGTATTTGACTTTGCCCGCATAATGTTTAATAATAAATGCAGATTCTCTCTTATGGGGTATTTCATAATACTTATTATCCTTGTGCACTGTGTTGATCTTTTGAAGGAACGTCTCATTCGTAGCAGCAGGAAAACTGGTAAAAAAAGAAAGAATTTAGTTACTGATGAAGAAATTCATTATTTAACCCAATGACTGGAGAGTTTCATAGACCAATATTTTATTGAAAAATTAAACATGTTAATTGTTTTGTTATATATATACACAGTACAGTACTCTAATTTACAATTTAAAAAATATACATTATATATGTGTGTATATCACGAAAATAAACACGTGATTAAAAATGTGACAGTGTCAGACCACGGAGGAAAATTGAAACAGGAATTTCCTCAAGTACTGACCATCTGGTCACCATTTGGTCCGGGAGACATCTCCCGTCACACTGGGTGCAGTCGCACCTCCACAGATCTCCAGTATCATCTATTGATACTGGGGATGGCTCAAAAGGGCCACAACTTACGAGCTATTCATGCCCGTGCCACCTTTTGGGTGGCTTCATCTTCATCTTCTCAAGTACTTTCGTATATTAATACATCTTCAGAAGAAGATGGATCATAACCTCTTTGACTTAAGATCAAATTTTATGAACAAAGAAAATGCATTTTATTTCACCATCTTACCTACACTGATCATCTAGCACACACAGCAGACCAGCTGGCTTCCCTTCAATGAGTGCTAGACAGTCAACATTATCCGTAAATTCTATATTGGTCCATGTAATACCTTCCCGCTGGTATTCTTCTTGTTCGTACTCAAACACATGTTGGTTAAAGTAATGCTGCAGGTGTTCATTGGCATAATTAATGCAGAATTGTTCAAATCTGAAAAAAATAGAAAAATTTGTGAAAATCATATGGTAATTACACATGGAAACACTTTACATAAACAATCGTCCATATAAGTCTATTTCCTTGTCACCCCCTTTTGCTTATTTAGTTCATACTCAAATATAATTTAACTCCTAAACTTTATAGAGAAGCCCTAAGGTGTTATGAACACATTCCAAAGATTCGGTATTTAAGCATCATCTTGAGGTTATCTCGAGATGATTTCGGGGCTTTTTAGTGTCCCCACGGCCCGGTCCTCGACCAGGCCTCCACGCTCAGGTACCTATTTTACTGCTAGGTAACAGGGGCATAGGGTGAAAGAAACTCTGCCCATTGTTTCTCGCCGGCGCCCGGGATCGAACCCGGGATCACAGGATCACAAGTCCAGCGTGCTGTCCGCTCGGCCGACCGTTATATCATATTGATATACCTGTACTCAGAAATCTACATTTATGTTTTTATTGTAAAAGATGATACCAACATTCTGCAACACATTTGGATGTCAAACTCCAATACATTTCAAAGACATGCAGGCTGAGGTAGTGGCACAAATTTTGTAGTTTGACTGGAACAGTGACACCCCAAATTCTGCTGGATTGATAACTAATTACTTAAGTAACATATCTTGTATACCCCTGAATTACACACACAAGTTGAGAGGCAAACACAGTACTTCCAGACAATAAGTAACTCGAAGATAATTAAGATTTCTCAAACCAACCTGTTACTATGACCAAAATCTTCAAAGCCAAATATGTCTAGCACACCAATTGAGTTACCACCGAGATCACTGGCCGATTCTTTTAGGGTGATGAGGGAGTAGTTCACCTGCAGGACAATCCAGTCAAATAATGCCCCATACAAACACTTGGCCAAGGCATCACGGGCTGCAACAGCCTGAAGAAAAATACAAGGATTATTTCAAACTTCTCACAGCACAATACAGTATAACATTTTACAGAAAAATTTAATTACAGTGGCACCCATCTCAGCTAATGTTTATTCCCTGACAAGGCCAACCTCTTCAGCACCTGTTTTATTTGCCCTTGTTTCAAAATTCAACTACCAAGAGTTTGCTAAGCGGGGGATGTGTAGATCTGCATAGGCAGTTGGGACCAAGTTCACAGACAGAGGCAACATTACAAGAGAAAAAGGAAAGCCATTGAGCATATTTAAAACCAAATTCCCTGCTTCTTTTTTATTTCAAGTTGCAGAGAATTTTGTTCAGTAAAATACGGGCCCCTTTTTCCTTTGAAAATGAGATTCATGACTTGCTTGTGGGAAATTTGCTAGATGCGATTAAATCTTTTTACAGACAGGGTCTCTTGTTGTTGACCTTCATATGACAGGTTGAAATTATAATTTCACTCTGAAATCTGCCCATAGAGTGGGGGAAATATTAGGTATGAATGATAACACACTCAAATATGGCTCCAATCATGTTTCTAATGATTTTGCAGATGGGCACAACAGTATAAAAAATAACAAGTTGATTTGGGAAAGCCAGAAGATATTTAAAAACAAATTCTATGGATATTTTTAATTTTGAGATTCCCCAGCTTTAGTTCACATATAAGGGTCATATTTCCTTTGTAAACGAGACTTCAAGGCTAGAGCATGGGAAATATGCTAGATGTAGTCAAACATCTTCATAGATAGGTTCTCTTGGTAGTTGTCCTTTATGTGATAGGTTGAAATTAAAATTTCGCTCAATGAAATCAGCCCATAGTACATGGGAATTATAAGCTATATAGTATAAGCTTCTATTACTCTCCCACTGCAAAGTTTAATCTCTCAATTCCATCACTCCTTCCGATGGTCCTGCTCTCCAGAACTAGCAAGCTGTATACCCTTACTTCATGTATATTCACATAATACTGGCAGCACATCACTCAGCAATTTTGCCTATTACATATCTTACTTATTTATTCACCATATCAGACACAACATTAAACCTTACAGCCAAACAGCCATTAAATTATCCACAACCAACTCCCCCACCCCTTTTATAGGACTAGGTTTATAGTACTGTATTCCTTAAAAGTTTTCATATACTCTACAGCATAAACTTTCATTCCTGCCTCACAAATTGTGGATGCCCAGCCCTGCCCAACAGGGCTGTGCTGGGCATCCTACTGTGCACATTACACAATCCCCAAACCTGATCTGACAAGTTGACAGGTGTAAAATATTAAGTGGTTTTGCCTAACCCAAAGTTTCAAGTATAGCCAACATACCTAACGTTTCGAGACTGATGCTGATTAGTCAGAAGTAGTGTCAATATTACAATGCTTTTAATTTGACTAAATAACCAGAATTCATACTCTCGTGTTTAAAACTAGTGTTAAAATTATGAAGAATTAAATGCGAGTATAGAATGCAATTCCCATTTCTTCAAACACAAACTCGCACCCTATTAACCCATCATCTTTGCAATTTTCCTCTATTCCTGCCCTTAAATTCACTTGAATGCAAGTGATCTCTTCACCTGTTTATTATTCATTTGTTCACCAGGTCCAAATCATATTGGTACACTCCCCAATTTGGTGATTTATCAATTTTTGCACTCGTCCCACCATATTTTTATTTCTTACTATTTCTCAATGAAATGGTGTAATCATTTCTTTAAGCAGCCCTCTATCTTCATTTCTTCCAACGAAGCTTTTTCTAGCAAAGTCTTAATTGCATCAGCCATTTTTCTTCCTTGACTACACTAAACTTCACTTGCACAAATGCTACTTTTGATAATCATACATTTGAAAACTACTGTATTTAAACTGATTAGCCACATCTTCCATGTGTCCATTAACACTAATTTCACAGTTTCTTTCAGTCTCCACAACCAAAATTTGACTTTTGTCCTCATTCATTTTTACCAGAGTTCTATCACATGTCAATAAAACTTTCAACTAGTTTATAAATCTTGATCACTTTCACCTAAACAAACTATCATGTAAATAAATCATACCTGACATATTGAAATTGCATATTTCATACACTAGTTTTTTACCTTTCTCTAACATCCTTACCATAACATTTTCTATTAAAAAAATTAAATCCATGAAGCTTAAATAAACAAATTTGTTAAATTAAATTTTTTTAATGTTCCTAAATGGTCCATACCTCAGGATGGCGATAGTGCATGACTAGAGTCTCCCCCTGAACACGAGCCTTCTTTGATGTGAGTGCATTTGTGAGCGTGTCCTCTGATACACCTAGCAACGTGGATATAACACTAACTTGCTCAGGGTTTCGTACCAGCACTGACTCATCGTGATGGTAGGTAGACTTCTTTGGCTGAAATTCTATGTTCCCTGTTCACAGATAAAAGAAAAAATAAACATAGCAGCAAAGACACATTTGGTGAAAACAGTCTAGAGCAAACTTAACTAAACATTAATAAGAATGCTGAATGTGTAATAATAAAACCTGTAAGAGCAGAATATGTTGAAAACACAATCAACATTCATACTACTGTAACAAATAAAGTTTTCTAATAGGCAACAGAGAATAATATAAGGCTTAACTAAATAAATTTAAAGCTCTTCCATTACAGAAATAGGAACATAATACAGTATGAAACAATCCATACAATTGCATGGATGAGATGAACATAAGAGAATTGGGAGAAACAATGCCAGAGAACTATACTTATAGAAAGCATAATAGACTAACTAGAAAAACTACAAGAAATCTAGTAGAAGGAATACCAAGAGCTTATCAAATAATAGATGTCATGCCAATGATTATACAGTACTTTAATTAAATTTAAATAATTTAATAATAAAATTAAGGCAATAGGAAATTACTGTACAGGTACTTTAATAAACTTTACATATCATATTTTAAAAGTTTTATAATACACATACATGGAAGACTACCTTTTCTTTCCAAGAAATAATCACACTCACCTAATAGAAGGACAGCAGAAAGTATAGCAAAGAGTCGATGTTGTTTATCGGCCGTGAAGCCCACCATCTCCATGGACTGCTTCAGTCTAACAAACTCAAACTGCTCATCGCAACCCTCAATGGTATAGCACTTGCTCTGAAAACATCAATCTTGATAGGTGACAAATCAAGTTATTTATATTGTATTAATTACTGTTAAATTGAACCCCAAATTACAAAATAGTGTGGTTCTGTTCAAACAGAACTAATGGACTAGTCCCAATTAGTTCATTAGAGCTAAACTGTGGGCAAGTATACGATGTCTGGTTATGTGATGAGATGAGGGGAAGCTTTATTAATCTTGTGTAGAGCAAGAGTGATAAGTACCATTTTAGATGGAGAAAGCCAAGACAGAAGGGGACTAGAGAGGCCATACCGACCTCGCTTAACCAGGCTAGAAAAAGCAACGTCTCTACACTCCCCAGTTATGTCATGTGAACCTAAGGAAGGATCAATCAGGAGATAGGCCAAGGTACACGCTACATTTCAATTGGTGTATCCATATAGAAGTTCAGTGAAGCGAACAAATAAGCTTGGGCCATGTGTGGGCTAGCCAACTCATTCTCTCCTTGGATACTGTAATTAGTACACGGACTTGTCCTCTCTCTCAACTAAGGACCATGTGGCAAGCAATACCAAGTACGTTAGGTCGTTGAAGCAATAGCAAGGGTAGCTGTGGCTTTGATGATGAGCACATGACTCCTTTTTTGCAGAGCCGAGATCATTTGAGGTTACATTCAATTCACGGAAGCAGCAGCATCATTCTCCAGATATTTTCCTCCTGGTATGATACAAGACTGCAAGGAATGTAAATGAGATTATCATAGTGCTGAAGTCATCAAGACTCGCAGTGACAAAGCATACGATTGGAAGTGTGTGAGTGCACACAAAAGTGTATGTTTATGCTGGTGTGTTCGTAAGTATGTATTGTATAATTGCATAACATTTGTCTCACATTCATGATGTTTATATAGTGGCCCAGTTCGATCCAGTTGCAAACACTTGCAATGGGTGTGCAGTGTATCTGTAGAGATTCTTAGCTCAAAGCTGGCGAGACCACTTTGAGTGATGGGTCTCACGAATGCCACTAGGTAGTGTGTGCACATGTATGCATTTATTTTGACACACGTAAATTATAGTTAGGCACGCAAATAAATGTCCCGAGTATCCTAACCGAGCTCATAAATTCTTTGAACTGCAGCAGTAATAGACAGCCATATAGTGAAGTAAATTATATGCAGCAAATGCAGTGTTAAGATTAGGGTGCCTTACTAAGCGAGTACTGTTTGATACCTTTGTAAAGAGACATTCCCAAACCATGAAAAGTACTAAGGTTAAGCGTAATAACCTAATAATTTTAATATACACATGGTTGTATCTATGATCCTTTTGCCCTCACAAAAACTGTCATTCCCAATGAAGGGAACCCTCTATTACTCACTAGGCGAGTACAGTACCTTAATGCTGGCACTACATCATGTAAACATCGATGGAATTAAGCCACAAACCCTCTGAATAACAGGTTGAGTTAAATATGACCAATTCTGCATTGGTGCTCTAAGCTCTTACTTCTGTTGATAACCACTGCAAGCAGTTGGCCGTATTACGCTGGCAATATTGTAAGCAGAGATGGTCCAGGAAAAGTTATTTCAGACACTTTATTTCTTAAATAGTAACAGACTAGTCCTGAAAGTATCATACCGTACAAGATATTTATAGACACTGGCCACAATCTTATTAACAGATTATTTCCACTTATAACATTATATTATATTATATTATATATATATATATATATATATATATATATATATATATATATATATATATATATATATATATATATATATATATATATATATATATATATATATATATATATATATATATATATATATATATATATATATATATATATATAATATATATATATATATATATATATATATATATATATATATATATATATATATATATATATATATATATATATATATATTTATATTACTATTAGAAAGGTAACATTAGAAAGTTATTTACAGATATTCAACATAATAACTAACCTGATTGAGGTAGCGGTAGTCTGCGGGTTTCAGAAGATGAAGGGCTTGCCGTACTTGGGGAGATGCCCCAGCAAGAAGATAATAGAACACATGATAACTACGCTCGTTGTGTGCTTGAGAGCAGATTCTTGATTTCTCCAACAGATATTTCTGAACACATGCCCTAGTAATATAAGGAACAAAATATTACAAAATAGTTGTCAAAAACTATGTACATCATAATTTCCCTCTCTGAATCCTTGTATATCCTATTATTGCAAGTAGTGACTAGGTTATTACCATTTCTTAAAAGCAAATAAATATACTACAAATAACCAACTATAAATACTTACCCTTGAACAAGACCATTTTCCTTATAGGTGACTTGAATGAATTTTCCAAATCTACTCGAATTATTGTTGTGGGCCGTTTTCGCATTTCCAAAGGCCTGTTACAGAAAGAAGCATTATATTTATACAGGGATTAAAAAACGGAGTCAGGTGTAATGAAGTACTCCATAAACAGCACCACAATTGATCTATTTAGCTAGAACTATAGGTGTATCTAGGCCTCTGTGGGCATGCCAGGCTCTAGGTAACTTTGAGCGTCACCATGATATGTAACCTATCTAATGGTCTTTGCTTGCAGTACTGCATAGGGGCATGGAGCACAGTGGAGAGCATACTGCAATCCACAAGAAAAGAACACACACACAGAGGACCACCAATTATAGTTCCTGAAAATACACAAGCAACTACCTACTGTACTGACCATGACCAGATGACAGCACTAGGAGACACCCTACGGTGGATGTCAGGCACTCACTGAACCTCATGAACCAAAATGACAAATGGGTGCGAGTAGACATAGAATAAGCAAAAAGGAAACTTGAATAACAAGGGCTGATATGCAATTACCCAAATGAGGCTACATGTTCAAACTCAAATGAGTGTAGAGAAACCCAGCAGCAAGTTCTTCTGAAGATAAAGTTCTTAAGGCACCATCAAGCTAGTGGCTCAACTCAAAACGCGTCAGACCATGCTGAAGGTTACCAAGCAACCTCAGCGACATCCCTGGTGACACACAATAACTGAACACCATGCTGTGACATGAACCATAAAGTACAGAACCCCCCTGTGCACAGATTAATTATCAAAGTTACAATAAGTCAAATGAATTGGCCTCTGAAGAGTTGAGCTTATTGATATGGTGAATGGCAGCCACATCATCCAACCCAGCTGTACTAACTCATGCTGGTGGCTGGTGGTGGTAGGTTATGTATTTTCAGCGATAACTGGCAGTTCTTAGGGTTGAAAAGGTACTTAAAGTGGTGTCAATGGTAGATTGAGGTGTGCTCTTCACTGCTGTACTGTACTACAGAACATGGCCATTGAAAAAGTTGCTGCACTTGTCTCAGTAGGGTTCAAAGTTACATAAGAGCCTTCCATGCTAGCAGTGACCTTGGGACCCACGGCCCTGGCTCAGGGAAGCAACCCAGGGTTTCTTGCTCAGAAAAACACCAACATTAAAATTCACTAGTTAAAATATACTACTGAATAATTAAATTTTTATACAAAACATGGTATTGACAAATGAAAAAGAACAATCCTGTACACATTTAAGCTTCAAAGCTATGAAAATTTATGACTAAGTATATAAAATGACTACCTAATTGTAGTTAACAGGAAGAAGAGCTATGCTCATGGTGTCTCATCTTTAACTAATCTATCATAAATGGTTAGAAAACTGCTTGTAGCCTTGGAACAATACCCTTCCCTGGAGTTCATTCCATCTGTTGGTAATTCAATTTGTTAAAAGAACTGCCTTGTGGTTTTTACTACACTTTATTACTGTATTTTTATTTGCAGGAATTACCTCCTATTATTTTTGTCTATCTCCAGAGGCTTCCTTTCATATTTATTCACAAATATGTATGTGATCATCTTGTTTCCCCGTCATCCAAAACAACCTTGGACATCTTCAAGAGAAAACTGGACTGTTTTCTAAGAGAAGTTCCGGATCAGCCGGGCAGCTGTGGTGGGTATGTGGGCCTGCGGGCTGCTCTAAGCAACAGCCTGGTGGACCAAACTCTCACAAGTTGAGCCTGGCCTCAGGCCGGCTTGGGGAGTAAAACTCCCAGAACCCCATCAAGCAGGTATCCAATACTGGTGCTTCAGCACACACAGCCTCTCCTCACAGCTTAATTCCTTAGCTCTGGGCACCCTTTTTTGGCAGGGTTTTGAACTTAACTGGGTTTGCGTATTTCTTTGCACATTTACACCATATGATTACTGCATATTCTAATTCATGTAGTTTTTCTTAAATAATGTTTTTAGCATGTACTCATCTATATATTTAAAGGCTTGCCAAGTGCCAATAATGTAAGAGGTTCTTTTACATAGGCATTGAATACTGGCTTCAGGTGATAGATTACCTTTTACAATTACTTTTAGGTAAAATTTCTTGAATGAAAGATATATTAGGTTCTACCACCCACCTTGTACAGTTTGTTCAGCTGGTTTAGATTTTGTTCCATTTCTATTACAGTACATATTTTGTATACCAAATTTAATTTTCCTCTGCTCCAGTTCCTCAATTCATCTAAGTTCAGCTGTAGGTTCTTGCATCCCTCTCAATTTCACATGATTCAAGAGCTACCTCAGTAAACATGTAATACATATATATACAATTTGTCACCTCTCATCTTATTTATACACAGTACTGTATTAAAAATGCAATTTGAGCCAATACTGACCTCGTGGAATCCCACACTAATAACTTCCATACACATATATTTTTCCCTAATTATTGTTATTTTCTTTTCAAATAACAGTTCTTCTTGTCCACTCCACATTAGTTACACCTATTACTATATCATGCACTAGTTATATGCAGTACTGTATTTAAAGAAGAGGCAAGTACATCAGTGATAAAGCTGACATGAGGAAAAGTTATAGATATTGATAACATACAATACAAATAAATGGTTTAATTTATTGGAGAAAATAGAATGGAGATGGTGTAGAGAATTTTCCAAAGGCATAGTATAGTAATACTGTACTGTGCCAAAGTGGAAATGAGCTACGGTTGTACCACTGAATAAAAAATAAAAGGAGAATATAGCAAATGTAAAAATTATGTAATTATTTGAATGATAATTGTGGCGGGCCAAGTGTATGAGAGAAGAGTGATCAGTGATGAATAAGAGGATTTCACAGTGGAAGAGGGGTAGTAAATCAAATATTTACACTGAGACAGCTTGTACATGTAAGAAAGATTTTAAGGTTTACAAAGCATTTATAGACTTGTAAATACCACATGACAAAGTTAATAGAGAAGAACTTTGGAAAGTGATGAGCAAATATGGAGTTGGCCGAGTTCCATTAAATACAGTACTACAAATTTTTATTATGGGAGTAGTGCATGTATAAGAATTAATGGTGTAACGAGTAAATGATTTCATATTAACGAAGATATATACCAGTTATAGACTGTTACCTTGATTATTCCATATACACATGGATGAGATCAAGGTCAGAATGTTAGAGAGGCATGTTGTATATCCAATATGAGTAAGAGGAGTCCTGCAAGCCAAATGATGTACTGTATGTAGATGATAAGTTACTTTAGCAAGAATTAAAGAATATTAAGCTTCAAAATTTGCACAACATACAAAAATCTTACCTCTAATACTGGTCCAGAACTTAGGATGGTCTGCTCCACACCACTTCCATGTGATCCCTTTTGGCTCAGCATGGTAAGATGGTGCAGAAGGAAGAGTGTGGACTCGGTTTTCCCACTTCCACTTTCCCCACTGATAACAATGCACTGGTTGCGCCTCTGCTTTAGCATTAAGTGATAGGCTGCATCAGCAATAGCAAATATGTGGGGAGGAAGCTCTCCTAGACGGTGATTCTGGTACAATTTCACATATTTCGGATTATATATTGGATAGTATTTGAACGGATTGACAGATATAAGGATGGACCCAACATACGTATAAATGTAACCTCTTTGGAATCTCGCTCGCAGGTTTTCAAGGAGTGTCTGTTCTGTTAGATTAGGTAACTGACACAGATCAGGATACTCTTTATCTTTGGGCTGATATAAGAATTTATAGAAGTAATCACGGATTAGTTGGGAATCAAGCTGACTGGGTTCTGCCCACAAGGAGTCTGATGATATCTTCTCTCGCAGGCAAAATCTGTTCAGAAATAGTAGTCCATAATTAGTTACTACAGATACAGAAAAACTACTTACATATTCAGCATCCGAGACTATTATATTAGATTTAATTTACCAAATTTGTGTAAAATTAAATTGAATTCAAGAATACAGTATATAAACTATACTGTTTATACTATGTGTTTGTTTATAATGTTTAAAATGTAAATATAATTTAATATGTAATATAATGTTTGTAATATACTCTTGCACTAATATATGTACAGTAAAAGACATACAGTATGATTATTAAATAAATGTATTGCAAAATATTTTCCAGTACTGTATTTAAAATTAAAAGTTACAGTAATTGAAAAACCAACACACCTGTATTCATGTTGTTCATTTTCTTCAATACTTTCGGTGACGGATGGCTGGGGCCAGAGCATCTGAAGAGCCACTGGATTCTCCTGTGGCCCCAGTCTTCTCTCCTTACACTCTTGCCCGTGAGCATTGCCAATGACCTCGGCCAATTCATAGTGCTGGGGATTGGGAAGACCAAGCCTCTCTACAATACAAATGGTGATTTCTTGCGAGGTGGTCTGTTTGCTGACCTCGATAGACAGAGCTTCATAATGAGGCGACAATGCCCCGACAAACACCTGCACTATATATCGGCTGTAATCCATTTTCGCAGCTTCAGGACAAGGAGTGCGAGTAGTCTCTTAACAACATTTTGTTTCTCATTGGGTATTTAATCGCCATCATCATTATATGGCTTGGAATCTAATGTCTCCTCTTGGCACACTTCTTCATTCACACTTTCAATTATCTTAACTTATACACACAATGCACGTCCTGCAACTCTTTTTCATCTAGATTGCACCAGCAACCCATTTTCCTGCATTAACTCACAAACAGCCCACTTTGACTGTGAACTTACAACCTAAACAGTTCCTTACTGGATACTTCAATATATACAATATATGGTATGTACACATTTTTACATTTTGTTTACCTGAAAAATAGATAAAATTAAATAATTAATTCAACACACGAAACATTAAACATCATTGAATTATACAGTATGCATTAAATACCTTTCCTTGCATGGCTGAGAGAGCTGGATTGGATATACAGTACTGTACAGAATATACTGTAAGTACTGTAGTACAACAGCAACGAAAATAAACAAGAACATGGAAGTAAAACTCATCCAGTGGAGATTGTATTAGGATCCTTATCAAGTACTGTACTAAGATGATCCTAAGTGACACACTTGTGCCAAGATGACAGTTGTCACATACCTTAAAAAGGTTCTCATGACTTACTGTGTCACTTTATTACCCAGTTTCCTCTTTCACACATTGTTGTATCGCAAATTAAACCACACACCAGAAGATTAGGAGAAGACGACGTTTCGGTCTCTCCTGCACCATTATCAAGTCGATTGTGATAATGGTCATAATCCATTATCACAATCAGAATGGTCCAGGACATAAAAGTCCTGAACCATTATCAAGTCACAATTGACTTGATAATGGTCGTTCGTCGTCTCTTCATCATCTGTTATGTGGTTTGGTCATCATATCTTCAGCGATGTTATTGCGACTCATTGTCTGCACATTGCTGTATTAATCAGAAACACAAAAATTCAGATAAAATGCGGTCACCCCCAGATTATCGGTTAAATTTGGGTCCAATCTAGCATTGAACTCTTGCACATGGAAGATGGAACATTCACAGATGACAGCAAAGAAATGAGTGAAATACTGAGGATTTAATATGAGTGTTTTCAGTGAATCCCTCTCTACCTACCTACCTACCTACCTTGTGTTATCTCGTTAAGGTCCTGGGGATCGACATTCCCGCGGCCTGGTCACCGACCAGGCCTCCCAGTTCGTCATCTGGTCAACCTGACCGTTGGACACAGCTGCTCACAGCAAGATGTATGAATCACAGCTTGATTGATCAGGTATCCTTTGGAGGTGTTTATCAAGTTCTCTCTTGAATTCAATAAACTGTGAACTGAGAGAGACCAGCCAGTTATGCCACTTATGTGTGGCAGGAGAGTTTGGAAAGCATTGGGCCTTTGATGTTGATAGAGTTCTCTCTCAGCGTATCTATTGTACCTCTGCATTTCAATCGGGCTATTTTGCACATCCTGCCATGTCTAATGGTTACATGTAATGTAACCATTAGGTTACGTTAACCATTAGGTTAAGCCACCCAAGAGCTCTTGGGTGGCTTAATCTTTATCAATCTTCCCTCATCACAATCAACTTGAGAATGGCCCAGGACGGACTGAAACGTCGTCGTCCCTTCACTTTCTAGTGTGTGGTTTGGTCAACATATTTCAGCCACGTTATTGTGACTCCTCGTCTGCATGCAGAACAGAACAGCCTGGATTCATGTGTCAATGTGAAGCATAACAAACCATAATATACATGGTTAGGCTCAATAGTACTGTACTAGCAAAATTTCCTTGGAAATGGTCAACATCTGGAGACCAGGGGCTAGGATGACACCTGAAAGTATTTTATGATGAAATTTCAGGTGCCACCTATTGGTTACTCTCTCATTTTATGTACATTGTCCATTCCAATGTTATTTAACAGGATGTCTCCTCTTTGATTCAGTCATTAAATTTTGAATAATCCTAATGCTGATTAACTTTTTTTTTATCCCCCGAGAAAATTAATAACCAAGTGTTCAGAGATACTGTACTTGCAACGCAATTCTATTTGCCACCTCATGCAATGCAGGCGATGAGTCACAATAACGTGGCTAAATTATGTTGACCAGACCACACACTAGAAGGTGAAGGGACTATGACGTTTCTGTCCGTCCTGGACCATTCTCAAGTCGATTGTGAGAATGGTCCAGGATGGACTGAAACGTCGTCGTCCCTTCACCTTCTAGTGTGGTCTGGTCAACACTTCATGCAATGTAATTTTAGACCTATCCCTAAATGGCAAAATTTTCAAGCAGCATACAATGTAATGTTCTAGTATTTGTTGTCCCCCTATGCAAGATGAACTGCCACAGATACGGTACTTGTGGCAAAGCTACATTCAAGCTGTGACAAAATCAGTCTACCAATTTTGTTATTTGCCCCCATGTAAGTGTTTTGTTTGACACATTTCATTGTGATAAACAATGGATCTGCTAGTTCCTGTTTGTACTCTTGTGCTTTCCTCAAATTTATCTAAATATTCTCACCAAATAACACATTTTTCTATATGAAAGCCCAAAATTAAGTTCAACATATCTATATACTGTAAGCTGGCAAGAGCATCAACTTTATCATGTTCTTACAGCCCAATTTGAGTAAAATTAAATTAATTATTTAATTTACTGATTAAAAGTTCAAAGTCTGTATTCTCTAGAGTGCAGGCGAACGATAGATAATAATCTACGTGTGGAAAATATTCGAGGGACTGGTTCCAAATCTGCACATGGAAATGGCATTACATGAAACCATTAGGCATGGCAGGATGTGCAAATTAGCCCAATTGAAATGTAGAGGTACGATAGGTATGCCGAGAGATAGGATATTTACTGTTGATAACAGTAAATTTACTATTGATAAATTTACTATTGATATTTACTGTTGATAACAGTAAATAAATGTGGATATTTGATGTTGATTGGGTGAACCCAATCAACATCAAAGGCCCAAGACTTTCCAAAACTCTCCTGCTACACATAAGTAGAATAACTGGTTGGCCTCTCACAGTTCACAGTCTATCAAGTTCAAGAGAGAACTTGATAAATACCTCCAAAGGATACCTGATCAACAAGCTGTGATTCATATGTTGGGGTGCGAATAGTTACGCCTGGTTGAACAGACGACCAACCGGGAGGCTTGGTCGGATACCAGACAGCGGGAACATTGATCCCCGGAACCTCCACAAGGTAGGTGTTTATCGAGTTCTCTATTGAACACCAAATATTACACCTGTATTATAGGACCCATGTAAGATTTGGAAGGTTAAGTCTCATAGGGAAATATTTAGTACAGGATTGAGTTTTCTAGATAATTTCTGTATATCTCGTTATCTGCTGGTCTCCATATGAGGAAATTAACTCACAAATTACCTAGGAAACACACCAATCCAAAAAGAATTACAAAGCTATATTGCATATAAAAATCAGATCTTAAAACTTAATGGTTCCCATGATATATACCCCTCACAGTGTTCGAGAGAGAACTCGATAAGCCCCTTCAAAGGATACCTGATCAACCAGGCTGCGAGTCGTACGCCAGGCTGCAAGCAGCCGCGTCCAACAGCCTGGTTGACCAGTCCAGCAACGAGGAGGCCTGGGCGATAACCGGGATGCAGGGACGCTAAACCTCGAAACCAACTCAAAGTATGTCCAGAAGACATACAGTATTACAAAGTAAAATCCGGTATGTTGACCATGAAAAGCTCAGTCCCCCAGGGTACTGTGTTTCTCCAGAATTTTTTCTCATTCTCATATGGGACACAGTAGACAAGAACACAATCTAGAGTACTGTAACATCCTTTGCAGATGACACTTTTTTATTACAGTAGACAATGTAAAGGACACGGCAAACCTTCAATCTGGTGATGTTGATCACCTCACTCTGAGGATGTTGATCCGGACAACTTCTTCAAAAGGTCAGATGTAATGTAAACAAGGAGTAACTGTTTCAAGCTCAACAAGCCACAGTGTCGGACTGAAAACAAGAGATGCTTTTTCACCCACAGGGTTATAAACTCATGGAACTGCCTATCTCATTGAAGATGTAAATGCCAAAACTCTGCTGAACTTTAAAATCCAGCTTGAACAAATTATCAGGACAAATGGGTAGACCTTTGAAAGGTCACTAACACTAGTATGTTATTGGCCCATAGGTAAATTCAGGTAAATCTGATATACGTGTAAATCAGTTCTTTAAATGGGCGACAGAAAATAATATGAAGTTTAGTGAAGTTAAGTTCCAACTCTTGCACTACAGAAAAAAATGAAATGAATGGAAATATATGGTGAATGAAAATGAAAATATAAAAATAGAAACCACACACAAGACGGCCAAATCATACCACAGAACGAAAGAGCAACGTAAAAGTTCTGGGAGTAATAATGTCGAAAGACCTTACTTTAAAGTATATACCTGTCATAACTTCAAGAAAAATTAATAGGTTTGATAACAAAAAAAACTTTGAAACAAGAGATGCCATACCAATGATGATATTCTTCAAGACACTAGTGCTCTTTAGGGTAGAATACTGATGAACAATAACAGCCCCATTTAAAGCTGGAGATATTGCTAACCAGAGAGCATACAAAGATCCTCCACTGCCAGAATCCACTCAATAAAACGCGTAAATTATTTGGCCTGACTAAAATCCATAAATCTGTATTCTCTAGAGTGCAGGCAAGAAAGATACTGTGCATAATAATCTACACTTGAAAAATATTATAAGGGACCGATTCCAAATCTACATAAGGAAATAACATCACACGAGACCAGGAGGCATAGTAGGATGTACTGAACAGCTCTGCTGAAAAGCAGAGTTGCAATAGGCACACAGCAAGAACTTTATCAACATCAAGGGCCTAAGACTTCAATATACTCCCATTGCACACAAGAGGCATAAGGGGCCAACCTTCCTCAGTGACAAAAGAAAACTCAACTAACACCTTCAAAGGCCACCTGATCAACCAGGCTGTGATTCATACATCAGGCTGCGAGCAGTCACATCAAACTGTCTGGTTGACCAGATCACAAGCCATGATGCCTGGTCAGAGATTGGGGTGCGGGAACATTTATCCACGAAACCACCAGAAGGTAACCCATCTGTCACAGAATACAGTAGTGTACAGTATTCAAGTTTCTCGACATCACTCAGGATGCACAGAAGTGCAAAACATGTCAAAGGATTCGGGTCAATTTACATTGTGATTAATTCTACTGTATTGTATATATTTTACATTTGTATTGTACTGGAGGAATGGTTGAAGACTGGGTCGTGGGGATGTTGAGCCCCGAAATCATCGTAAGGTACAAGGTACTGTACTGGCAAAACAAAACACAGATTTCAATGTTTTCTCAAATTTCCATATGCTATATTTTCTCAACCCTTTGGGTTTGAGAACATCGTATACTGTATACAGTACAGTATTATGAAAGCACCAATTGTTTGATGTGCCACTAATTTTCTCAAAATAAAGACCACCTGAACACAGCAGCTCTTAGTGTTGACGAGAAGCATTGATTTAAGTTATCAGCTGTGCTCATTTACTACGTATTGGCAAACAATCTAAAGTAGGGAAGAATGTGGTACAGTATTTTTAAATATCTTACTCATTAAATTATAACCTGTTTTTGTTTTATGGGGTCATTGTGTGATTTGTGTCATTGTGTCATTTGGATTACGTAGGCCAAATATTTGGCACCTCACCTTCCTATCATATCATCTGACATATACAGTACTGTATTTAATATTACAGTACAGTACTGTAATATTAAATACAGTAATATTTAATATTATATTAGGCCTGTGTCTGCCATAACCTAGCCCTAATACCTCAGCATCCTTCACTATCTATCTCCATCTTTTTCCCCACAATAACTTTCTTAAATCTTTCTGTAGGTTAAAATTATTTTTAATCTCTTACAAGCCTTCACTGAACTTTCTCACAAACTCCTCATCCTTTACTCTTTGATCATTAACCATTTTATCCTACAATTCTTTATATAATTATTGAAGTTCATCTTTCTTCTTAGTCTAGCATCACATTGGGACATCTGTCTGCACCAATATTTTCCACCCATCTTTTCCTTCTTAATAGCCCATGTCATTTCCAGAAAGCTATGCAATAATACACTTCCATCCCTTTTCACCAACTTATAACAACACTCATCCATCATCTCATCCCAATTAAACAATACATATAGTATACAAATTTGACATTCACAGATGCAGTCATTCCTTCTAAATCATTTAATATATAACTTAACCATTCTTTAAATATTTTACTCTCTTCCACTGTTTCCAACTTTCTTTGCATTTCAATATTTGATACAGAGCCCAATCATTTTCTTCATCAGAATACCCACCTCCCCTTTCCCATAATTTTGCACAGAATTGCATAATGATCTAATGCCACTAACATTCCTCTCATGACCCCTCACATCTTTGATGATACTGTACTTTTACACCGTCTATCAACAAAGATAGTCAAACACCCTTGCTCCATTTCATCTCGTTCCCTACTCATTCATGTACTGTACCTCAATCAAGGCAAGGTCTTGATTGAGCCTGTTACCCTGTGGCACAGTGGTAACACACTTCCCCTGTGCTTCGCAAGCGATTTGGCCTCGGTTCATATCCTGGTCGAGAGGATTGACTAGGCACCAATCTCTCCCGGTAATGCTTAAATGTACGCCTCTTTTCACCCAGCAGTGAATGGGCACCTGGTTGTTAAATGATTTGGCAGGTCGTATCCCAGGGAAAATTAAGATTATGGACCTGCCACAAAATGCAATGAGTGTTATTAGCTTTACAAGAATGTGTATATAATGAAATCTTGTGCAGTATAGTATTTATAAATAAAAAAAAAATGTTTGAACACGTTCTCTAAGTATTTGACACAAACATACCTCCTTTCTGATCAACTATCCACCAAGAAATACCCATTCCTATTTATATGTAGTACAGTACATTACCACTTTCCATCCACAGGCCCTATTCAAATACACAATGACTTCCCAATCATCTTGTAGCCTCTGCATGATCATTCAGTTAATTACAGAACACCTACAACTCTTCCTTTCATTTAACATTATCCATACACATTATGAACCATATAAAATATGAACTTGCAAATCAATCACTACTGTACCTATTTTACTCTCACTTCAACAGTCTAGAATTGACACATTCATACTCCTTAACATATATATGCCTTCATTGTGATGCAACAAAATAATCCACTCATTTTTACCCTCTATAACTTTTATTCACTCCTAACCCCTCAACTAACCTCATTACCCATGATTTTCCACCATTCCACCATTTACCCTTCCCATTAGCATGCATCTTACTCGTGCCTAACCTACTTGTTAACAATTTCAATCTTCTCAAGAGCTATTATCATAATTCTAAATAAATACTGGTGTAACTTAAGTGTTTAACCTTTTAGAGAAATCTACACAAGTAAAGAAATTGCAACAAAATTCAACTTGTGATGCCCTGGAAGATTGATCTTGCATGCTGATTACTCGGGATGGTCAACTCTTATGTAACTTTGATAGCAATGAGATAAACGTGCGCCTCCACCCGCCCCACTCAATGTGCAAGGTGTTGCCATAATTAGCCGACATGATGTATTCCGATATTTTATAATTAATCCATTAATGCCATTATTGGGTTACTGAGTAACTGCAATATTTATTATTATTATTATTATTATTAGTATTATTATTATTATTAGTAAAGTACTGTATATTTATTTCATTCACCTGGACTCTAGGAGACTCGAACTACGGACCCCAAGTGTGTGAAGCTGAATTATCAGTATTGTTTATACAGTACAGTACTGTATTGTCAATTTTATTTGTTTTGTATTAGGCAATTCTTCGTATTAAAAAGTGTACCGTATCGCGAAGTACGGTGCTGCTTCAGGTGTAATTGAACCACCACCCGAATAACTAATATTTACCTAAGGATTGTGAATGCATTACATACAGGACCATTGGGAACTGCACTGTTAGGATACAGGTCCATGGGATGCTTCATTGTTGGGATACTGGTTCATGGATGGGGTACTCCACTCTTAGAATACAGACCCATCAGGCACTGCACTATTTACCCGAGTCACTATTATTCTATTGGCTTTGACGAGGACAGTAAGCCGGCGACTTGTCAAAGGTCACCTGCCACTTGTCCTGATGATTTTTTTTAGCTGGATTTTAAAATTCAACAAAGTTTTGGCATTAGATATACTGTACTGTAGGATAAATTACCCTTGCATTGTTCGCACAATAAGAGTTACATTATTATGCATTTAAAGAGTGCATAAACTAATGGGCCTATGTGCAATAAGCACAGTGCCACATGGGCTCTCCAATATGTGTTCTGGTTAGATAACCTAAGGTTTAACCTAATGTTTTGTTATTCAGATGATTTTCTAATTATCCAGGAAAATGTTATTAAATTTCTAATATGTCTACTCCAATACTGACAGAGCATTATCTTTTTATGATGTCATTATTGCAATCTTATACCTACTGTATTATTTTTATTAATTTTAGTTTGTACTATCATAACTATTACTAGCATTACTGCTCAGAAATGTATTAGGCCTATACAGTATCCAGAATGTGGAACTATTTTTGTATTCAAAGCTAATTATAGTTTGTGCATCACTGGATAGTAGCTACAGTATATTGGCAAAATTACTTTCTTAGGAGTAAATGAAAAATCATCTGAATCATACCAATATAAAAAAATAAATATGCTGGCTACACAATCAGAGCGAGGTTCATAATAATCACATCCACAGGGATGTACAAATACTGTACATGTACAGTATTGGCTTTTGTTATCCTTTATCCAAATAATGCAGTGGCCCACGGGCCTGTATTACTTCTCTTTCATGGCAAGCATAGGTTCAAATAATTTTTGTTGACACCTAAGGTGCTGCACTGTCATTAGAAGACCTATGATCTGCTCAGCAATGATATATGGAACAATGCTTTTGCCTGTTAAGAATATGAAATTTCTTTATATTTGATGATATATCAACTGACAGCATTATGACTGTAATTAGCTCTACTTTAAATCACAATGGTACCGTGGGTTATACATAACCAGACATTAAATCATTTACATACTGATATGTACATAGGCAAAAGCTTGTAAAATCTCATTTCTGATCTTCCTTGAGTTTACAAGATTGTAATTACCATATGACATTATAAAATGTCTATTATTAACTTTTAAAAGTTTGAAATAAGGAATTATACAGTATTGTATATGAATTTATCACTGAAATGGGTCCTGTCATTATGTTCAGGTTTTCTAAATTTGCTTGACAATAGTATTCCTCAAATCAACCACTACTGTGACTAATGGGTCTTGAAATACTTTCCGTTCACAGTCTTGTTATAGTTGGTAACTAATTTAAATGATACACAGGATTAATATTCAACTGACAATATATGGTCCTTTCTTACTCAAGATCATGCAAAATAATTTTGTAATCATTTTTATAGTAAATATTCTCACAAATTTGATAACGTTTAGACTTACAATCCCCCAAAAAACTCTAAAATTAAACATTTTGAATTCTGACCTCTGCCAGGTATTCACATACAACATTAAATCTTCTGAAATACACTATTTCCAAAAACGTCTTATAATTCACACCAATTGACTGTCAAGACGAAAGGAAATATGACTAACAAGCTTGACATGACATATTGTGATGCCTCTCGTCTTCAGAGTTTCTGAGACACGACTCCACAGAAAGACAAATATTCGGACAAATAAGGAGTCCCCTTCAAGAACGTATAAGTTCTTAAAGACGTGGGGTGCTGTAAGGCCCCCCAGCATCTTGGCCTCACCATCCTCCATGGAACACCCCCCGAGTACACGCCAATCTGGACTTCATCTTTCCCCCGTTTTGGAAGCCTTCGAGAACTCCTTCAGAACACCTTTTCTTCATTTTCTCACATTTATCTTCCATACATCCTTACGCAATTGATATTCTTCGATGCATAAAACCCGCAACACAACATTAAACACAACACTAACATTTTCAGGTAAATTCTCCGAAACACAGATTTTCACTTGTTGCTTCTTCACTCAAGCTGTGGCTAAGATACACCTCCCACACTCAAGACGTTCCAAGTTCTCCACCTCCTCGTCACTCACACCTCCGACTATGCACTCGGGTCACTCCACACCACCACACGCTACCTCGCTGGCCACTAATCCACCATGGTTGCTCTACTAAAGGCAGATATCGAGGCAAAACATGATAATCCGGCAGGCGTCTGGGAGCCTAACGTGCACTGCTCAGTAAACTGACCCGGGCTGCCACCTGGCGGACACTTCCACAACTGCGCTTCAAATTAGAATGATTTCCCCCCCACTAATAAATAATGAGGAAATGTAGATGTTTTATCTCTCAGAATGTTCGGTAATACGTTTATTATTTATGATGTGTGTGTATGTATGTATTAACACGATGTACTGAACGGGGTGAGAATAGCTTGAGCTACCATCATCCCTTTGTGTGTATTTTACCTCAATAAACTTATTTCAAATTCAATAAATAATAAGTGTAACCATGCTTATGCACGCTAATGTCTCCTCGCTAGAAATTAACCATCTCAAATAACAGATTTTTAATGGTGGGACTAGATCAACTGTTTTTATCAGTGCTAGTGGCTCCGGACAGGATGCATCGATGTGCTTCCAGCTGCCGTAAGTAAAAACAAAAAAACTGAAAAAAAATATATATATATGACGCAAAGTTCCCTTATTTTGTACAATATTTTATTATGAAGCATGTGTAGTTTAGTGGGAGGGCGGTGGAGGGAGTGTTGGGGTGTGGTGGTGACTATCGCAATAGCGAGGCATCTCGACATTACTTTAAGGTGAGCGTAATATGGCTTCCTGTCATCACGTTTTCTTATTTCATCGTCAGTGACTCTTATATCTTGGTTTCCTGCAGTGACTGACGCCACACCTGTTATACCTTTCGCGTGAACAAACCCATTCTACATACTAATTGTGTGTATTATTTACTCAGATCAATGACTCTGCTGTATAACATATTTATATATATACACATATATTATAATGTATATTATATTATATATTCATTGAGCACCTCTGCTATGCACGAAAAACTTACACACAGTACAAGTTCCTGATTATGCTCTCTATCTCTCACTCATAATTAATTTTTATCTCTAATCTCATTTTACCTGTTTCTTCTTCAATTGTCTTATCATTTCTTTCTTGACATTTTGTAGCGCAGCAGTCTACGTCGTCAGTTTACAACTGACGAGGGTCCTGGGCTTAATCCAAGCGAAAGAACAGAAGCCTTTGGGAAACGTTTCTTTTCAATGCCTCTGTTCACCTAGCAGTAACTGCTGTAGGTACGCGGGAATTAGGCAACTGTTGTGGGGTTGAATCCTGAGGAAATTGGAATTGAAATATGTTTATGGAGGTAAAATACACACAAAGGGATGAGGCAGCTCAAGCTATTCTCACCCAAGTTCAAGTTCAAGTATGTTTATTGAGACAAGAAGAAAATGCATCTCAAAGGGATAGAGTAGCTTAGGCTATTTCTATACCCCCTCTACTTCAAGTCCCTCAAGGGGCGCACAAATTCAGTGAGTACAAATACACAAATCACAATACAAGAATCCCATTTCTTTATTTCTATAGTTATCAATAACTTGACTCTCTAATACATAATGTTCTAAGGTGTGGGCGTGCGGCATACTACATAATTTACATTCCTTATCTTTTTCACTGACATCAACACCGCATTGCCAGATATATTTGTATCCTAATCTTAATCTCATGTAAATTGAATTCTTCTAAGTAGACTTTCCTCTACCATAGGTGAAGGACGAATTTGTATTTATTATTGAATAATTCTTAAGTGTGTTACTATTGTCCACCATTGCCATTCTCTTTGCCATTTCTTCACCCTCTTGGATCATCTTGATTCTTGTTTTTATTTGTTTCCAGGTTATCTGACATACAACATCAACAAGAGTTTTTTCCACGGCTCTCTTCGCTATCTCATCAACTACCCCATTCAACAGTATTCCCACATGTGAAGAAATCCACATGAATCTTACTTTATACCCAGTTTTTTCTAATTTCTTGACATTCTCTCTACACTCTATCACAATATTCTGGTATACTGGGCGTCTGCTATTTAAAGACTAACGCTCCTCTACTGTCAATAAAGAAGCAGGCATTTTTACCACATTTGACTACTTTCTGTAATCCTGCTAATACACCTTGGAGTTCAGCCTGCGTTGAAGAGACGTTGTCAGTTAAGCGGCGTCCAATAACAGTATCTACAGTGCCGATGTCAGTGTACTCCCTGATCAAGACTCCACATCCTGCCTTCCCATCCCCTAGCTACTGACCCAACACAATATACATGTAGAGTGTTTCCTGTAGGTAATTTTCTAATTATACAATCATATGTTGCCCTCAGCTCTCCTATTTCATACATACTTTTTTCTTTTACAAGGGAATAATTACTACATCTACATTACAATCCTCCTATGGTGGTGTGAATTGTCTCGTAGTCAATACATTCTGTAATAACACCATACTTTATAACATTAGAGGATAAGGTATTCATATATGCCCCCTTCTTTATCATACATTGTTCATTACTTCCCACCTTTTGAACTAAGAGGATTAATTCATTAGCTCCCCCACCTCTCATTAATCTAATGGCAGCGGCTACATTTATCTCCGAAATTCTATCCCCAATATTCTTTAGATTCAACTCCATCCTCATTATCTCAATAATAGTATTTCTTGGGCATACTAAGATAATTATCATGGCTTCATTTTGTACCTTCTCCAACTTGCCCATCCTACCTTTACCAAAACAAGAAATGACAGATGCAGCATAATCAATAAGGGATCTTACAATACTCAAGTATATCATTCGTAGCACAGGGACTCCCACTCCCTTTCCACAGCATGCCAAGGCCTTCAGAGGTTGTAATCTCTTCAGACATTGATCCAACAGTCTGTTCATCTCAGCTTCCAAACTCTCATGGGTATATTCAACATATATGCCTAAATATTTATATATATTAACTCATCCCGTTCAGTACAACGTGTTCATATATTGTTGACCAGACCACACATTAGAAGGTGAAAGGACGACGACGTTTCGGTCCGTCCTGGACCATTCTCAAGTCGATTGTGTTCATATATATATATACACACACACATCACAAACAATAAACATATTACCGAACATTCTGAGAGATAAACATATACATTTCTTCCTTGACATAAGTAGTATGGTATCTGACGTACACACAAATACTATTATGAATAGGTATTATAGACAATTTGCAAGAGACATTCAACGAAATAGGGGGGGTAGAAATAGCCTAAGCTACTCTATCCCTTTGAGATGTATTTCTTTCTTATCTAAATAAACATACTTGAACTTGAACTTGATTCAACAAAAGGTTACAATCTTGGTGCAAAATTCTATCTCTCCACAATATCATCAACCTTCCCGTCGCATCCTGAGGAAGGTCAGAATAGTTGGCCTAGGGGGGGAACCTCGATAATATGCATTATAATTAACATTTATGAAAGACGGTGTCGTGCAAATGAGCAAATGCACGTGAAGGTTAATATGAAAATCATTGTCATTTCTTTAATACTAGCCTATTTTCTTAGCATTCCAGTGGTAGTAATTTTGATAACTAGCATTAATTTTAACAGTAAGATAAAGCGCGAACACTGATGCATATCAGCTTTTTCTAAAATATTTTCAGGATGGGTTTGGTTCTGTTTAATTCTCACTGCTTCCTGCATTGTTACCATTGAAAAATACCATATCACATACCATTTACAATTATCAAATTATTCGTATGTTTGAGTTTGCCATATATCGAGTGAAATATGGCAAATATATGACAACTATAATAGAGACAAATCAGTTCTGACTAAAGACATGTGTTCAGTTCAAAATCCAGATAGAAAAAAAATCCTCAGGTACAATGACAGGTCCTCTGAGAAGCCGCCTGCTTCCTGTCCCCGTCAAGGCCACTAGAGACAGTGGCCCTGTCTGTAGTGTAACGAGCCGCTGGGATTTTAGTGCATCAGTGTTTGGCCTTGAGGGACTTATACGTCAGTGCGATGTAGTATTTAAGACTGGGATGCTCCCGGACGCAGGTTCGAATCCTCGTCACGGCCCTTGTGGATTTGTTCCTTAGTATTTAAGAGGACGGGTTGTATAGGAAATTAGATGTTACTCTTAAATAAATGAAATATATTTAATGAAATATTAATATCAGCTTCTTTAATAATAGCGCAATCTCTCTCTTTAAAACACTCGACTTGCGTTTTTAAACTAAAAAGATACTTATTTTCCTTCACATTTTGGCAGAGAACTCCTGGCAGATACCAATACCTCTTTACGGCGCGTAGTTGAAATGTCAGTGATTACTCACCAGCAGCTGACATCACTGGTAAGCAGATTGCGTCAATATTTTCGTCTTTCTCTGAAGCTACATTAATTTTTACGACGCTTATAACATTTAAAATTTCCAGGACTGGATACAGCAAGCACATGAGGTGGCTTAATCTGGCCGAAACGCTGCGCGTACTAGTTTAGGCTTTACAAGATTGTAATTACTATATTATGTATCCTCACAATCCCAATGTACCTTCTTGTATATAAATAAATAAATAAATAAATGAGTGGGATTATAACTAGCATGCATATGGATAAAAGGGGCACACTGCCATACGCCTCCTGACCGCATGCAAGCCAAGTTCTCTTTACACCTGGCTGTTTGCACTCGTATATCAGACCAATCTATTCTTAACACTTCAATAATGCTACTTGGCAGATTGTCCCACTTCCCCACCACTCGTGCCAAAGCTAGTCTGTGCTCACCTATAAATCTGTTCAAAATTTAATGCATTGAAATTGAAATAAGTTTATTGAGGTAAAATACACACAAAGAGATGAGGTAGCTCAAGCTATTCTCACCCCGTTCAGTATATCGTGTTAATACATACATACACACACATTACAAACAATAAACATATTACCAAACATTCTGAGAGATAAACATCTACATTTCCTATTTAATGCATTGTTTACGGGCTATTTCATGCCCGTGCCATGAGCCACCTCTTGGGTGGCTTAATCTTCATCAATCAATCAATCCATTGTTACGAGTTCACTCTAATACCTTGTTTAAAATGTGAAGGTAAATGTCTCTCTTCAAGTATGTTTATTGAGACAAGAAAGAAATACATCTCAAAGGGATAGAGTAG